GTAGAGTTGCCTCCAGCGAGGCCTCTCCGGAGAGATGCAGGGCAGGGCTTTCCTCCAGGCATGGTCCTTATGGCTCCTCAGGGTGTCCTGTTGGTGAAACCGGACCATGTAGGAGTAGAGCACCTTCCTCTTGACATTTGCGAAGGCCACCTCTGGTAGGTCCTCCAGCCGGCACAGGTTGTGATCCGCCTTCGCTTGTCGGCATTGGCGACGCAGTGGCACGACGGAGAGCTCCGGTGGAGGGGGACCGAGAGGGGCTTCGTGATCCCCAACGCCGATGGGGGGCGTTCTCCCCGCTGCCGCTGAGAAGGCCCCCTTGGCTTCGGCCAGGATCCGGGCAGCCACCCGGAGCGATTGCAGCCCTGTCTTTGCGGCCATGTCTGCTGGTCCGAGCCACCGGCCCCGTGTTCCAGGCTCCACCAGATCTCCCATCCTGGTGAGCCGCGCGTTGGTGAGGCGCCTCTCCATGCCGGGGGTGGCGGTGGTGGACGGCAGCTTTGTCTGCGGGTTCCTGAGGATCGGTTCGAAGACCAGATCCTCGGCCGATTGCGGCTGGTTCAGCCTCCTGACGGCGAGGGAGCTCCACGTCTGCAGGACGCTCCTGTAGAAAGGTGGCAGCTGTCCCAGTGGGAGGCCCTGCAGGTCCATATAGAATAGTTGTTTGGAGCACTGCAGACCCCCCAGCTGTTTAAGTAGGAAGGAGGCCGTGACGCTCCAGGCTGGTGCAGGGGTGGTGGCGTGCAGGAACTTTTGTGCGGCCTGCAGTCGGAAGGTGGCCAGCTGACTCCGCACGCACACCAGCCCGTGACCGCCCTCGTCCAGTGGCAGGGCCAGGACCCCAGCCGCGACCCGGTGTCCTCTGCCCGACCAGAAGAAGTCGAGGACTCGCTTCTGAAGCGCGTTAACGAGGCTCATGGGGGGGTGCAGGGAGAAGAGTCGGTGCCACAGCATGGACGTCACCAGCTGGTTCACCACCAACGTCTTTGTCCTGAAGGTGAGGAACTTGCACAGGCGACTCCAGGTGCCCAGCCGCTCCTTCACCTTCTCCTCCAGCTCGACCCAGTTCCTTTGCGGTGGTTCCTCCTCTGGTCCCAGGAACACCCCCAAGTGGTGCAGCGATGTTGTGCTCCAATTGATGGTTTTTGCCTTCTCCGGACACTCGGTCATGTCCCATGCTCCAACCAGCAGGCCGCTGCACTTTTGCCAGTTCATTTTGGATGAGGAGGCCTTCGAAAAGACCTCCTGACACTCGTGGAGCAGGGCGACATCATCCAGGGAACGAAGGATGAGGAGGATGTCATCGGCGTATGCCATCAGGACCAAACTGACATTTGGTTCCCTGAGCACCAGGCCGCTGAGTCTCCACCTTATGAGATTCAGGAAAGGCTCTAATGCCAGTGCATAAAGTTGGCCCGACAATGGGCATCCCTGTCTCACTCCTCGGTCGAATTTGACGGGGGCAGTGAGGGTGCCGTTGATCTTGATCATGCACTCCGCCTTGGTGTAGAGTAGGCGGATCGTTCGGACAAACCCATCTCCAAAACCAAAGGCCTTGAGGGTTCCCAGCAGGTATTTGTGGTCCACTCTGTCAAAAGCCTTTTCCTGGTCAAGGGCCAGAAACGCGATTGGGATGCCCAACCTCTGGGACATCGCGATGAGGTCTCTGACCAGGAAAATGCCGTCGTGGATGGATCGTCCGGGGATGGTGTAGGACTGGTCCCTGTTTACGACTTGTGCAATCACCCCTTTCAGTCGCAGGGAGAGAGCCTTCGTCAATATTTTGTAGTCGGTGTTCAGGAGGGACACCGGACGCCAGTTTTGTAGGTGCCTCAGGTCTCCGTTCTTGGGAAGCAGAGTGAGCACCGCCCTCCTCCAAGACTGAGGCATCACCCCGGTGACAGAGGCTTCCTCCAGCACCTCTCTGTAGTCCTCCCGTAGGGATGGCCAAAAAGCGGCGTAAAACTCCCCTGTTAGCCCGTCTAACCCTGGGGATTTATTTGGGGCCAGTCCTCCTACAGCTGCGTCAAGGTCATTCCTGGTGAGCTTTAGCTCCAGCAGCTCTTTCCCGTCTTCCTCCAGGGTGGGTAGACCGCTCCATGCCTCCGCCTGGGCCGCTCCCGATGTTTCTTCAGGGGAGAACAGGCTGCCGTAGAAGTCTCTGATGATGGTCGACTTCTGCTGGAGTTCGTGCGCCAGGACACCGTCACCATCAAAGAGGCACTCCATGTATTTGCGTCTCCCGTTCTGCCTCCCGAGGGAGTAGAAAACGGGGATCCCGTGTCGAGGTCTGTGATGAGCTTCACCCGGGATCGCACAAACGCTCCCCTCGTCTGCTCCTCCTGTAGGCCTTTGAGACGCTCCCTAATCTCCTCGTATTCTCGGAGAAGAGCAGGGTCATTGTCCTCGGCGAGGCGACTCTCCAAATCGAGGACCCGGGCTTCCATGTCGGTGATGTCCGCGTTCTTCAGTCTGGTGCTCCCCCAGGTGTATTGTTGGCACAACAGCCTGGTGTGCACTTTGCCCATGTCCCACCATTGGGCCAGAGACTCGAACTGCGTTTTGGTTTTTTGCCACTCTTCCCAGAAGTCCTCGAACATCTCTATGAAGGTGCCATCCCCCAGCAGCGAGTTGTTAAAATGCCAGTGGGATGCACCCTCGCGGGCTCTCTCCAGCCTGACACGGAGCACAATGAGGTTGTGATCCGTGAAGGGTGCCGCCCTGATGCCAGACGTTATGGCGCACGTCACAAAGTTCTTAGAAATGTAAAATCTGTCGAGCCTGGACTGTGTCACCGAGCCATCGCGCCTCGTCCTCGTGTACGTGAACTGGCGTTGGCCAGGGTGATGTATGCGCCACACGTCCACCAAGGCGGCGTCCTCCAGTAGTCCCTGCATCTCCCTCTTCGGCCCAACTCCCCCCTGCTGCCTTCCCGAACGATCCAGGGCGCCGATTGTGCAGTTGTGGTCGCCACCCACAATCACGCACTCGTCGTCCGGGATCCCAGCCAGGTGCCTCCTCAGGAGGTGCAGGAACGGGATCTTCTCCTTGTTGTTGACCGGCGCGTACACGTTCAGTAGGTGGGTGGTGACATCGCCCACCCTGACCGTTACCGCGAGCAGCCTTCCCTTCACCACTTCGGTCTGGGTGATGAGCTCGGGATGAAACCCTTTAGCGAACAGGGTCGCGACTCCACAGGAGGTGTTGTCAAGGTGGCTGTAGAAGGAGTCCCATCCTCGTCCTCGACCGTGAGATGCGTCTCCTGAATGAAGAAGACAGAGGCAGCGTGTTTCCTCGCAAGAGACATCGCGGAAAACCTCCGCACTGCCTCCCTGCAGCCGTTCACGTTTAGGGAGGCGATGTACATAGGCATTGGTTTTTGCTTGCCTCCATGTCCTCCCACTTCCTAATTTGTCTGCGGAAATATCTCAGCTTTGCCCTCTCCTTGCCCCGGGACTTGAGTCCCTGATTGGCGAGGACTCTGTCGGCTTGAGTCACAGAGGCCTTTATTGCCTTGCTGTCCTTCCATCGAACCATGGCCATGTCCGCTCTGTCCTTCCTCAGGTTGGTGTCATCAAGGAATTTCCAGAGATCTTCCGAGGAGACCAGGCAAGTCTGAGAGTCAAGGACTGTAGACTCCTGGCTGCTGTCGCTCCCCACACTGAGGCAGTCGTCCCGATCAGAGTCGATTACCCCGGCGTCCGTCTCTGCTGGAAGAGCTGCAGCGGCTGGGCTGGCGCATGGCCCAGCGGCATCCTCTCCCCCAGTGTCGTGGACGATTTGGGATGTCTCCTGCTGGCTCTTCGGGTGGATGGCCCCGGGGTGTTTCTTCCACTGGTTTTGGGTCAGCAGTGGGACGGGGACCTTCCTCGTCATTCCCATCCATTTCATCCTCGGTGAGTGTGCTTGATGACTCTCCACCGACTTCCTCCTCTTGGTCGAGGGCTGAGCCAATAGGATCTGTCATCGTTTCATGCATAGCTGGTGGGGAGTGAGTCTCTATCACCGCAGTAGACGGGTCGATTTCCGTGGCGATGTCGCCTTCATCGTCCGCGCTCTCCTGCTGTGGAAACCCGTCCCCAGACACACGCTGCTTCTTCCTTATGACGAGTTTCTTCCTCGCCGCCCGCGCGTCACTCGGCGTGGCGTCCGGGATGGCGAAAACCATGTCGTCGGCGTCCGGCAGCTGTTCTGCTTCCTCCCCCGGTGTGGGAGGTTTCACCGCTTCTTCCGGTTCGAGGTCTGGGAGGGGTTCCTCCTCTGAATTAGACCCTTGCGATCCGGTTTCTTCAGTATTTTTCCTCTTGCGATTAGTCGCTTGAGGTGGCGATGTTGGGGCCACTACCTCAGGTGTAGGAGGCTGCGTGGCTGGCGGGTCCGGTGTGGGCTGTTGGGGGCCTTGTTGCAGTGGGGGCTCTTGCTGCTTTCCCCCCTCTGCTGTGCCTCCCTCCTCCCCACTCTTTTCTCCGACCCTTGGCGTCGTCGGTTTAGGGCAATCCCTTCGGAAGTGGCCCTCTTCTTTGCAAAGATTGCATTTGATGCAATCCTTGGCATAAAACAGTCTATGGGCAATGCCTGCATAGACAATCACAAACGATCCCTGCCCGTGTTGTCCGGGAGTCAGTAGGACTTGCACCTGCCTCCTGAAAGAAAAGACGTGTTTCAGGATGGGGCGTCTGCACCCCAGCGACACGCCACGTACTGGCGACACGACCGTGCCCAGCTTGGACACGTGCTCCAGCATGTCCTTGTCGGGGATGTAGGGCGGCACGTTGGAAACGACGATTCACGCCGCCACCGAAACGATGGGTTCCAGTTGGACGTACACTCCCCGCACGGTTATCCCCTTCTCGACGGCCGCATCGGCCACCTTCTTCGTCGTCAGGAAGAAGACGGCTTTCCCACTGAGCTTCGCGGCGTGGGCGATGGTGTCTGGCGGGACGATGGCGGCCAGGGCCATGACGTACTCCTCGATCATGACGGAGCTCGAGGCGTAGCAGCGGATGCCGTTCTCGCGCGGCGGAAATGTTCGCTGCGCGCTTGGGGGGGTTGGCCTTGGAGCAGAGGCCCGAGTGGGGGGCCTCGTGGCTCCGGGCAGATTGGCAGCTGCGGCCTGTGCGTAGGTGGCCATTTAATTCCTCCTACCCAAACGCTGCCTGACTGTGGTGTAGCGCTTCTATATAGAGCTCCCTTCGAGAGTGTAAACTGAGGATCAAGAAGTAATCCTCGTTGAAGAAAATAAAGAAAGTTAGGAAGAGGAATAAATTAATTTATTGAATAAATTAGATGTATTTATTATTTATTGAATAAATTAACCTATTGAGAAAAATAGAATGTACAAATAAATAATAAATGGAGATCGAATTATAAATTTACGTGATAAATAAATAAATAAACTGTACCTGCGCGAAAGGAGCCCAATAGTTAATCATTAACCATTAGGCTTCCTAATCCGCAAAGTCAACAGTAGCGTTCAAATTATCGTGTGGCTTTAACTCTGTGCTTTAACGGCAAATGCTCACACAAGAAACAAGTTATAACAAATCTTAAATAGTTTGAGAATCGCAAACTGAGATTAACAACATAAGCAGAAGAATACCGGAACTATAAGCAAAGTATAAAAAGCCTGTTAAAGTATGAAAACGATGCTTGAATAAACTATGGGTTTGACCACCGCACTTTAGAAACAGCAGCGTGTTTCAGAAGGCTGTGCCTCACCCCGAGCTGTTAAGCTTCAGAAAGTAAAGAAAAATAGAAAACCACACAAATATGATTACCTGTGTGTGCAAGAGGCAGAATACTTACTCGTACTGAGTAAAATCTGTAAAGAAAAGAAGCAGTTAGAAGCGGGTTTTTAAAGAAAAATGATAAGAAAATCAGGAGCTCAAACGAAGCGCGCCTCTCCCTCCCCTCTCCCTCCCCTCCCTCTTCTCCTCCCCTCCTAGCCAAGTGAAGGAAGCCCCCCCCCCACCCCGATGGCGTCTTCTTTCTCCACCACCACCGCCGCCCCCCACCTCGTGGTGGCGTCTCTGCTGCTGCTGCAGCTCGGCGCTCTTTGTGAGCAGCCCCTCGTCCTGCCCCTTGACCGTGAGTAGCAAACACCCCCCCCTCCCGTTAAGCAGCTGATACCCCCCCCCTACAGCACCTAAGGTCCATCTTCTTGATTCTTTCGGTAAAGTCACGTAGAAGGGAAATAATAAAATAATGAAAATAAAATATTTTATGTTTTTAATAATAAAAATTAAAAATGTAATTTCGATGTAAAGCTTTCGTGACTGCAGGGATTCATCTTCTTGGTTCTTTCGGTAAAGTCACGTAAAAGGGAAATAATAAAATAATAAAAATAAAACATAGTAAAATAATTCTCACGACGTTTCGGCCACAACGCAAGCAGAAGACCAGGTCTGTCGGGGAGACAGCGTCAGATGCTGTCTCCCCGACAGACCTGGTCTTCACCTGAGGACGGCTGCTTGCGTTTAACCAATAAGATGAATCCCTGCAGTCACGAAAGCTTTAAATCGAAACACCTAAGGTCTTCGCTCATTTACCAGCTTCACATTCCCTATTGCCGTACAAACACTGGAGGAAGGGCCTTTGCTATTGATGCCCCCAGGGTCTGGAATGCTGTCGCCAATAAACTGCAATTTGAATCTCTACCTATGAGATCTTCACTCAAAACTGCTCTAGAGGAGTTGTACACCCCTAACTGCCACTGCAATTTAGTGGCCTAAAATACAATGTTTCGCTCTGGATGATCGCTGCAAAGTATGATCTGTGTTTTGATTTAGTGTGCTGATCTTAAAGGTACATTGAAAAATGTTGACACTCCGACTGATGCTCCTCCTGCTGTTGTGGAGTGACCCATGCAGCCAGCTGTGGCTGCAGGGTTTGGTGGTACATGTTGTTTACATCGTTTATTGTGAAAACTCCGTCACAGTTCCTATGACCTGCACTGTTGCATTGCTTTCATGGCTTTATTTTGGTGATTTTCGAAAAGTTCTTTGGTTTGGCCATGTTTGTTTGTTGTAGTACAGAGTTAGACTGTTGTTGTTTGACTTGCATCCCACTGGGATGTTTGCACACAGCGTTGGTGTACGGTGATTTTTCTGCAATATTTTGCTGTCTCTTCTTGGATTTGCTTTTAGCACTCAGTCACATCGTCACTTTAAGATGTTTTTTGTTCGTGTTTTTGTTTTTTGTTTGTTGCGGTTGCACCCGATTCAAGAGCCGAATGTCTCACAGGGCTCTACACCCACTACATGAACTTGAAACTTGAAACTACACCCATCACTCATCCACCAAAGTCCATCAACTCAACTTTGTTGTTGACCCGTTGGTCTCTCGCAGTCACCCAGCCCCCGTCCATCACGTGGCAATCGCGCGAGGACTACATCGTCGACCCACGTGACAACATGGTGCTGCAGTGTGAAGCACGCGGCAACCCAGCGCCCACGTACGCTGCACACTCCTCCATCCATCCCTCACTCCATCTCCCCTCACTCCCGAATTACCCCCCCTCCCCATCTCCCTACCCCCCTTCCTCCCTCCATCCCGAATTAACTCTCTCCCTTCCTCCTCCCTCCCTTCCCTCCATCCCATCCCCACCTCCCCTCCTCCTCCCTCCCCCCTCCTCCCCCCTCCTCCCTCCCCTCCCTCCCCCTCCCCTCCCTCCCTCCCCCCTCCCTCCCCCCTCCCCTCCCTACCCCCCCTCCCCCTCCCTCCCTCCCCCCCCCCACTCCCCCCCCCTCCCCCCTCCCCGCCTGTGCTGCAGCTTCTGGTGGAGCAAGGACGGGGGCAGCTTTGACCCCGACAGTGACCCCCACGTGCGGCGCCGTGGGGATGGCTCGGGGACCTTCACCGTCGACTTGGCGGCGGTGGCGGCGGCGGCGGCGGAGTCCGATGGTGACGGTGGCGGTGACGGTGACGGTGACGTCACCGCGGCGGTGCAGCGCTACCAGGGGGTCTACCGCTGCTGGGCGGGGAACCGGGCGGGCACGGCGCTCAGCAACGACATCACCGTGAGGCTGGCGCGTGAGTGGGGGGGGGGCACGCTCGCACCGTCAACTACTCACTCACTCACACACACACAGGGTGTGCTAACCGCTGCACCACCACTCCCCACTCACACACACACACACAGGGCGCTAACCGCTGCACCACCACTCCCCACACACAAAGTGCTGAACCCGTCCTGGGCCCTCCCCTAGGTCGACTCAGCCTCAAACGCGTACCTAATGCGCCATGTAAACACGTCACCATCGGGGAGACAAAGGCGGCCCGGTGCTGACCACCAACTCGCTGGCAGCACTTGCCCCGACGCCCTGCGAAGGCTACACGGGGAGACTTTGTCTGTACCCTGCAGGTGCCCCGCGGTGGCCGCGTGAGCAGCTGGCGCCCGTCATGGCCGCCGTGGGCTCCCCGGCCGTTCTGCACTGCCGCCCTCCTCCCCACGGCTTCCCTCCTCCCACCGTCTTCTGGCTGGACAGCTGTGAGTACCATGCTGGCTATGAGATGTTGCAGCTGTGAGTACCACGCTGGCTATGAGATGTTGCAGCTGTGAGTACCACGCTGGCTATGAGATGTCACAGCTGTGAGTACCACGCTGGCTATGAGACATGGCAGCTGTGAGTACCACGCTGCCTATGAGATGTCACAGCTGTGAGTACCACGCTGGCTATGAGATGTTACAGCTGTGAGTACCACGCTGGCTATGAGATGTCACAGCTGTGAGTACCACGCTGGCTATGAGATGTCACAGCTGTGAGTACCACGCTGGCTATGAGATGTGGCAGCTGTGAGTACCACGCTGCCTATGAGATGTCACAGCTGTGAGTACCACGCTGGCTATGAGATGTCACAGCTGTGAGTACCACGCTGGCTATGAGATGTAGCAGCTGTGAGTACCACGCTGGCTATGAGATGTTGCAGCTGTGAGTACCACGCTGGCTATGAGATGTCACAGCTGTGAGTACCACGCTGGCTATGAGATGTCACAGCTGTGAGTACCGCGCTGGCTATGAGATGTCACAGCTGTGAGTACCACGCTGGCTATGAGATGTTACAGCTGTGAGTACCACGCTGGCTATGAGATGTCACAGCTGTGAGTACCCGCGCTGGCTATGAGATGTAGCAGCTGTGAGTACCACGCTGGCTATGAGATGTCGCAGCTGTGAGTACCACGCTGGCTATGAGATGTCACAGCTGTGAGTACCACGCTGGCTATGAGATGTCACAGCTGTGAGTACCGCGCTGGCTATGAGATGTAGCAGCTGTGAGTACCACGCTGGCTATGAGATGTCGCAGCTGTGAGTACCACGCTGGCTATGAGATGTAGCAGCTGTGAGTACCACGCTGGCTATGAGATGTCACAGCTGTGAGTACCACGCTGGCTATGAGATGTCACAGCTGCGAGTACCGCACTGGCTATGAGATGTCACAGCTGTGAGTACCACGCTGGCTATGAGATGTTACAGCTGTGAGTACCACGCTGGCTATGAGATGTCACAGCTGTGAGTACCACGCTGGCTATGAGATGTCACAGCTGTGAGTACCACGGTGGCTATGAGATGTCACAGCTGTGAGTACCACGCTGGCCATGAGATGTTACAGCTGTGAGTACCACGCTGGCTATGAGATGTTACAGCTGTGAGTACTGCGCTGGCTATGAGATGTTACAGCTGTGAGTACCACGCTGGCTATGAGATGTTGCAGCTGTGAGTACCACGCTGGCTATGAGATGTTGACTACCTCGCCTGGTGTGCAGGAGGTCTGTGTCTCTCTCTCATCATCATCATCACGGTGGCTATGAGATGCTAACTACCTCGCCCCTCCCCCCTTAGGCCCTCCCCTGACCCCCCCCTTCCTTAGGCCCCTCCCCTCTCCTATACCCGGCAGTAGGTCTCCACCAATCAAAGAGCTGTTTGTATTATATATTTATTTATGCACGACAGACATACAAATAATCCCTGGTGGGCAGTGTGGAACATTGTTGCTGCCTGTACAACGATTCCGATCTCCTCAATCCCTCCTCCCGCCGCCCCTCCGACTGCCCACCACCACCGCCACCACCACCGCCACCACCGCCGCCACCACCACCACCGCCACCACCACCACCGCCACCACCACCACAACCGCCACCACCACCACCGCCACCACCACCACCACCACCACCGCCATCACCACCACCTCCGCCGCCACCACCGCCACCACCACCGCCACCACCACCACCACCACCGCCACCACCGCCACCACCACCACCACCGCCACCACCACCACCACCACCACCGCCACCACCACCACCACCACCACCGCCGCCACCACCACCACCGCCACCACCACCACCACCACCGCCGCCACCACCACCACCACCACCGCCGCCGCCGCAGCCGTGGAGAAAGTGCCGCTGGATGGGCGAGTGACGCAGGGTCCGGAGGGTGACCTGCATTTCGCCAATGTGCTCCCCGGCGACGAGGGTGACTACGTGTGCCACGCTCGCTACCCGCACACGGGCACCATCCGCTACAAGCAGCCGCTACGGCTGGTCGTCACACGCAGTGAGTGGCGGCAGCGGTGGCAAACGCCGGGAAGTGCGTGCATGGACGTGTGCGTGTGTGTGTACGTGTGTGCGTGTGTGTGTACGTGTGTGCGTGTGTGGACGTGTGTGTGTGTACGTGTGTGTGCGTGGACGTGTGTGTGTGTGCGTGGACGTGTGTGCGTGGACGTGTGTGTGTGCGTGTGTGCGTGGACGCGTGTGTGTGTGCGTGGACGTGTGTGTGTGCGTGCGTGGACGTGTGTGTGTCTGTGTGGCCGTGTGTGTGTGCGTGGACGTGTGCGTGTGTGTGTACGTGTGTGTGTGTACGTGTGTGTGTCCGTGTGTGTGTGTACGTGTGTGTGTGTGCGTGTGTGTGCGTGTGTGTGTGTGCGTGTGTGTGTGCGTGGACGTGTGTGTGTGTGCGTGGACGTGTGTGTGTGTGTACGTGTGTGTGTGTGTGTGCGTACGTGTGTGTGTGCGTGTACGTGTGTGTGTGCGTGTGTGTGTACGTGCGTGTGTGGACGTGTGTGTGCGTGTGTGTGCGTGGACGTGTGTGTGTGTGTGTACGTGTGTGTGTGGACGTGTGCGTGTGTGTGCGTGGACGTGTGTGTGTGTACGTGTGTGTACGTGTATGTACGTGTGTGTGTGTGTACGTGTGTGTGTGTACGTGTGTGTGTGCGTGTGCGTGTGTACGTGTGTGTGTGTGCATGTAGATGTGTGTGTGTGTGGACGTGTGTGTGTGTACGTGTGTGTGTGTGCGTGTGTGGACATGTGTGTGTGCGTGGACGTGTGTGTGTGGACGTGTGTGTGTGCGTGTGTGTGTGTACGTGTGTGTGTGTGTACGTGTGTGTACGTGTGTGTACGTGTGTGCGTGTGCGTGTACGTATGCGCGTGTTCACATAACCGTCACCGGTGTTGCCCTACGGCGGGAATCAAACTCGCCTCATGGCCAGCTTTTGTAGCGCAGTGTAGACGCTAGCCACTGTGCCACCGCTCCCCGGATGATGCACACGCAGAGCGTCCGTCAAAAAGCCGGCCGGTGTTCGTGGAGCCCGCGGGGGAGTCGAGCAGCAAGGTGGTGCTCACCGGGGAGACGCTGCTGTTGACGTGCATCACACGAGGCCTGTACGTACACACACGCATGCACACGCACAAGACAAAGACCCCCCGTATAGCCTTAACAGACTGTAGGGGCAAGTGCTGTTAGCAAGCACCTACGAAGGCCGGAACGGCACACGAGGGGGTGGGTGGCCAGCAACCACGCCCGACTGCCTTTGTCTCCCCAGTGGCGATGTTTACACACCGCACCAGGTACTCATTTAAGGCTGAGTCGACCTAGGGGAGGCCCGGGACCGGTTCAGATAATCGTCACTGTTGGTGTTGGCCGTGAGCGGGAATCGAACTCGTGTCGCCGGGTTCGTAGCGCAGCGCGCTAACCACTACACTACCGCTCCCCACACACACGCACACACACATCTACACACATGTAGGGATGTTGGAGAGAGGGCCGTTATGCATGGCAGCCTATGGGAAAGAAACACAGTGGGCGGGGCTACATGTGTGCACAGGGAGATGCCCTCTGCGACGTCCGAGCCAGACACCCTGGGGGGGGCTGGTTCGGCGTTACGATCCCCCGGGGCCCCACCCCTCAAGGAGGGTTGGGTATAAAAAGGGGTCGTTATATGGGCTTAGTCAGTTATGTTATAGTTAAGCTAAGAAGTCGGAAGACGTCGTAGCTAGAGCCCTGGACTCCCCCTGATCGCCGCCCTTATCAGGGCCCCACGGGATCAGGCTCGAGCCAGTGGCGTGGTCCCGTGAACCAGAGCCAGTGCTCTGGGACTCCGGGTACCGAGCCCGATTACCAGTGTCGGGCCAGACAGCCTCCCCTAGCTCTTAGTGGAGGACTCAGGGGATAGGCTATGGATAGCTAGGGGTATTCCCTGAGTTATACGGGTGAGGGGGCCGCTACCCCCTCTAGGGCTGTCCTGTACTGGCAACTTGTTAAATAAATATACGTGTGCCTCAACTCCGTTGTCAAGCGTCTTCGACGGGTACTTCATCTGGCGTCAGAAGTGGTAAAAATGGAAACGCGCCATACAGCTCGGACCAGGGTACCACAAGAGGAGGACGCCGCGGAGATCGCCGAGCCCGAGACAGAGCAACAAGATGGGGTGCAGCCGGAGCCTGGCGCCTTCTCACCGGGACGTCAGCATGGAGAGGGGCCGCAGCCAGATGCACTACGACTGGCTCACGAACGGCTGGCGGAGCTACTTTATGCCGCTGCCGCCACACTGGAAGGCATTACGCGGTTGGGGGCTGGTGGTCCACCGCAGGGCGAGGAGAACCGGCGGACGGAGCACTTTCCCGCCATTTCAGCGACTTCACAATTTGAATTTCCCGCCATGGACGCCGCGGCTGTTCGGGGCGTGGCCAGCTTAGACATCGGCTCCGACATCGCCGTCGCCGGGGCTGCAGCGTCATCGCAGCCGAAGGATGCGTCATCGCTGCCGCGACAGGCGATGCCATCGGCCGGTCGCGCCGAGGCACCGCCAAAGGGAGGTGAAAGCAACCTGCGGGAGTCCACATCGACCGCTGCGCTTCACCAAAGGCTGCCCCCGCTGAAGGAATTCATCGGTGCGGAGGGTGACTGGGGCGGCTTCCGGCGACGCTTCCTCGCCCATCAGGAGATGGCGCGGTGGTCCGACGAGGAGGCCCTTTGCGCGCTGCCGGCGCTCCTCGATGGGGACGCGCTCGCCGCACTCACGTCGGCGCCAAAAGACAAGCGGGCTACACTACCAATGGCGCTACAGCTGCTGGCCGGGGTCTATGGACCTTCAGCCGAATGCCGTCAGCAGTTCTACGATCGCAGGCGGGGTGAAAAAGAGTCGCCTCTGGCTTTCCGGACAAGTCTTCTGGCGCTGGCAAAAACAGCCTTTCCCCCGCATGGACGACGACGGCGTGGACGCAATGGTCGCGGAGAAGATCCTCCTCTTGGCGGACGACCTCGACATCGTCGTCATCGCACAAGGGGATGCAGAAATGACCTCCCTCCAGGCTGCGCGACTCCTCCACGCCAACCTTCTGCAGCAGCGGCGAAAGGCAAACAGGGCATCGGCTGGGCGTGCGGTGGCTGCAGCCACCCTTCCGTCAGAAGAACTTTATGCCGTCGACCATCGACGGCAACAGACAACGGGGGCGCGGCCGGGTCGGGACGGGCCGAGGCGTTTCGACCGTCCATCGTCTCCATCGGCGCTCCCGCGGTGCTTCAACTGCGGCATCCGGGGCCATGTCGCCTCGGGGTGCCGTTCTCCTCGACAGCGGGGGACGACGCCTCGACAGGACGCCGGCCCTCCTCTTCCTCCTCCCAAGCTCCAGCACCATGATCCGGCGAGTCGCGGCACCTCACATGTTTGGCCAACGCACCCACCTGTCGCACACTCTCGCACCGTAACGAACGGGGGGCCGGTGGGGCGCTGCGATGGACCGGCGCGGATCACTGCGGGGACTCAAATCGAGCCCGAGCGGTGGTCCGTGTTGGCCCATCGCGTGGTGGCCGCGGCGTCGGGATCGTCGGCCGTGGTCGGTTACATTGATGGGGTGGAGGTACGCATCATAGTCGATACAGGGGCATCGGCGACAATTATTTCGGAACTAATTTACAATATTCTACCGGTGCAGAGCCGTCCTTTGCTACCGGTTAATGTCCCTTTCTATGCCGCTAACGGGGGCTCTCTCGGCATCGTGGGACAGATTCGAGCGCAAATTTCTATCGGGGACATCAAATTGTCGGGGCCGATTTTTGTCTCCTCCTCACTGGCAGTTCCGTGCCTGCTGGGGACGGACTTCTTGGGCAGGATGCCAATTCGTATTTTGATCGACCAAGGATGCATTGAGCTTCCGTCGGGGCGACGTATGGCGTTCCTGCCTTCCCCTGTAGCGACTCGGACGGCGTTCGCGACGGTACCGGCGTTCGTCGTAAAAACAGTGCGTGTGCCGCCGGGGGCACAAATGCTGGTACCTCTTAAACTTCGTAGGCCCTTCGCTAAGGGTGTTGGGGATCAGGGTGTTGTGCTGGGGCCGTCTAGGGCCGGGGTTAATGGGCCTCATTTAATTCCGGCCCAGACCATCGTAAGGGGGGACGAGGATCCCTTCATCGCGGTCCTCAATGTCGGGTCGCAGACAGTAGTGGTTCCCCAAGGGACTGTGCTCGCTCACGCGACGCCGGTGCCCTGCGAGGAACCTGCCGTGAACCACATTGACACTGCTGCTCGGACGCACCCGCATTCGGACGGCGATGAAGGGTGGCTCGACGCGCTTTGTGCGGGATCGACGAACCTGTCCAATTTAGAGCGCCAACGGCTTAGATCGCTGCTAAAGGAATTTTCCGACGTTTTCAGTCGGAATAAATACGATTTGGGTTGTACTCACCTGCTGCGTCACCATATTGACACGGGTGACAGCGCGCCTATTCGCCAAAATCCTTTTCGGTTGAGTCCCGCCGAAAAGGACCATGTCAAATCGGCTGTCGATGACATGTTAGCCGCCGACATTATCTCTCCCTCTACCAGCCCTTGGGGAGCACCGATTGTCCTGGTTAAGAAACAGGATGGCTCGTTGCGGTTTTGCGTAGATTTCCGTCGCCTTAATAAGGTTTCGGTTGCCGACGCATACCCGCTCCCACGGATGGACGAATCGCTGGACGCCTTGGCGGGAGCGCGATTCTTCTCCACACTAGATTTACTTTCGGGATTCTGGCAGCTTCCTCTGGACGATGATTCGAAGCCTAAAACCGCTTTCCGTACACCGCACGGCCTGTTCCAATTCAACCGGTTGCCGATGGGCTTACACTCAGCGCCGGCAACCTTCCAGCGGTTGATGGAATTGGTTTTGGCTGGATTGCAATGGGAATCGTGCCTGATTTATTTGGATGACGTAATTGTTTTTGGAAGAACCTTTGACGAACATCTCCAGAGGCTGCGGGCGGTTTTCCAAAGGATGCGGGCTGCTAATTTGAAATTTAAGCCCCAAAAATGCTATTTGTTTCGCGAGTCAGTGCGTTATTTGGGGCACATCGTGGGGCGCTCGGGTATTGCTACCGATCCCGCCAAAACGCAGTGTGTCAGCTCCTGGCCAATTCCGACCTCGGTGGGGGAGGTGAGGAGTTTTATTGGCTTCGCTTCATATTACCGACGGTTCGTCGCTAATTTTGCTACAATTGCCAAACCCCTACATGCTTTGACATCAAAAGGGGTTCGGTTCCACTGGGGTCGGGATGAGGAAGTAGCTTTCTGCTCCCTTCGGGATGCATTGGTGAAGGCTCCTCCTTTGACTTACCCCGATTTTTCGAGGCCGTTTTTGCTCGACACCGACGCGAGCAACACAGGTATCGGAGGCGTGCTTTCCCAGGTGGTTGATGGCGTGGAACGGGTGGTTGCGTACGGCAGTCGGGTGTTGTCTCCAGCGGAGCAAAAATATTGTGTCACCCGTAGAGAACTGTTGGCAATTGTTTTCTTCATCCAACAGTACCGCCCATATCTGTACGGTCAGCATTTCACTGTCCGTACGGATCATGCGGCACTGCAGTACGCCCTGAAGGTTCAACAGCCATCGGGACAATTGTCCCGATGGCTGGAGGTCCTCCAGGATTTCGATTTTGACACCACCTATCGTAAGGGCATTCGCCACACAAATGCGGACGCTCTGTCGCGCATGCCAACCACCTCCGAATGCGCATGCCTCCTGGGGTCGGGGCGTTGCAAGCCAGCTGGGGACATGACGGTTCCAGTCCTGGCGGCCGCCGCCGATGTTGACACATCGCTCCCCGATGAGATCGGGAAACAGGGAAGGGATTCCCTGCTTGGGTTGCCTGTGATTGAGTGGGGACGCCTCCAGATGGAGGACGCCTCCCTCCTCGCGCTGCGTCGTCGCGCCAGGGAGAGGGGGTGTGGGACGGGTGATGCCGACAATTGGGAAATACACGCGGGCTTGCTCATGCATTGGGACGGTAAATCCCACCGTCACCGGCTGGTAGTTCCTGCGGGGTTACGGGGTAAGGTGGTGTGGGCTGCTCATGAGCGCCTCCTCCACCTGGGTACCCAAAAGACCCTCGCCTCGCTCCAGCTGGATTTTTTTTGGCCGGGCATGACACGGGATGTCACGGATCTCCTGGCAGCATGCCCCCGGTGTGCGCAACGCAAACCACCAGCTCGGGAGTCGAACCCGCCGTTGCAGTCCATCACAGTCTCCAGGGTGAACGAACTCGTAGCGTTGGATATCCTGGGGCCGTTTCCCGCCACCCCTAGGGGCAATAGATATTTGCTAACAGGGGTCGAATACTTCACACGCTGGCCTATGGCCTGGCCCCTGGCAAATCAGTCGGCAGCAGCCATCGTGGACGCCTTTGTCCAAGGCTACGTCATGGACAAAGGTGCTCCGGAGCGGCTGCTGACCGACCAGGGTAAAAATTTTTCCGGGAACCTCCTCAAACAAGTCTGTGAGCTCCTAGGTACAAAGAAGATTCGTACCTCTCCCTATCACCCACAAACTGACGGGATGGTCGAGCGTCTGCATCGTACCATCACGTCTATGTTGTCGCACCTGGTTTCGGAGTCACAGACCAATTGGGACTTGCAAATTCAGGGGGTCCTGGCAGCATATCGATTGGCCCCCCATGCTGCCACGGGATTTTCACCCTTCTTTCTCATGTATGGTCGCGAACATGACCCACCTGTTCGGGCACAGCTGCAGATCCCCGCGCCTCTAGGTAAAATTAAATTGGACGAGCACGTTAAATTTAACCTTCGAAAGCTAACTGAGGCGCGGGATGCTGCCATGCTCAATTCCCGCATGCGCCAAAAGGCGAATGAGCGCCTCAGACTCGCGCGCGCGCACGTGCTGCAGTGGAAGCCAGGGGACAGGGCATGGCTGCACTGTCCCCAGGTACCGCTTGCGACCTCCTCGAAACTGGTACGGCCATGGCGGGGCCCCGTCGAGGTGGTCGAGGTTTTGCGACCGCAGTGCGTTCGTATCAAGTGGGGGAGGCGCCGGTGGTTCGTTCACCCCTCTAGACTAAAACCCTTCGTTGCGGTGCGGGACTCTGCTCCACACGCGCAGGGCCAAGCATGTGAGGGGTCGACCGACCCGGAGGGTCCGCCTCTGTTGATCTCACCTGACGTCTTGCCGGTTGCCCCGCCCCCAGGTTCTCCCGGAATGACGGGCTCGCGCACATCCCTCACGGGGGATGCCGAGGGTCCCGCCACTCCAATTGCGGACTCGCCTCGGATGGGACAGCGGCCACCGAATGGTCCGCCATCTGAGGTTGGCCCTTGTGACGGGCCTGCGGCAAGGACGCGCGCTAAAATGCGCAGACTCTTATAAAAACACTGGAACGCGAACAAGAAGTGAAAACGAAACGAAAATAAGAAGAAAATTTTTTTTTATTTTTTTTTGCGTTTTCTGGTACACTTTCGTGTGCTATTGTTGCTGGACGCTGCGTTCGTGTGGCGCTCTTGGCGCGTTGTTGTATTATGGCTGTGTGTGTGTGTGCGTCTTGTGTGCGTGTTGTGCGTGCGCTGAGGGTTCCGGGAAATGTACATATCTTGCCTCTACGGATTTCGTATTTATTCGGGGGGGGGGGGCGCGTCGGTTTGTTCTCCCTTTAGGGGCATTGTTAGTGTTGTTGTTTAATTCTCGTTCTGTTAAATGGAAAAAATGGGGCACACACGGGGGGAGTCAAGGGGTAAAGATTCATTGGTTGAAATTGTTGCAGCCGGGACGGCTGCGAGCTATGCGGGGGGGAGTGATGTAGGGATGTTGGAGAGAGGGCCGTTATGCATGGCAGCCTATGGGAAAGAAACACAGTGGGCGGGGCTACGTGTGTGCACAGGGAGATGCCCTCTGCGACGTCCGAGCCAGACACCCTGGGGGGGGCTGGTTCGGCGTTACGATCCCCCGGGGCCCCACCCCTCAAGGAGGGTTGGGTATAAAAAGGGGTCGTTATATGGGCTTAGTCAGTTATGTTATAGTTAAGCTAAGAAGTCGGAAGACGTCGTAGCTAGAGCCCTGGACTCCCCCTGATCGCCGCCCTTATCAGGGCCCCACGGGATCAGGCTCGAGCCAGTGGCGTGGTCCCGTGAACCAGAGCCAGTGCTCTGGGACTCCGGGTACCGAGCCCGATTACCAGTGTCGGGCCAGACAGCCTCCCCTAGCTCTTAGTGGAGGACTCAGGGGATAGGCTATGGATAGCTAGGGGTATTCCCTGAGTTATACGGGTGAGGGGGCCGCTACCCCCTCTAGGGCTGTCCTGTACTGGCAACTTGTTAAATAAATATACGTGTGCCTCAACTCCGTTGTCAAGCGTCTTCGACGGGTACTTCACACACACACAAGTGCAACACAACAACAACCGCCATTCGCCACTAAGTGGCGTTGACGTCACTTGCGCCAGGCCATGTGCGCCTTGAGGCTACCACGTGAAGTGTCGAACGCCCGCTGGCAGGAGGTCACGGGGCAGACCCAGCAGGTGCCACGGGTCAACTGACACACACACACGTGCACACACACACACACACGTGCGCGCGTGTGTGTGCGTGTGCGTTCCCTGTGTGTGTGTGCGTAGCCCCACGCCGGAGGTGAGCTGGAGCAAGTGGGGTGGGATGTTGTTGTCGTCGGATGAGGAAGCCGCCCCCCTCGCCGCACCCCCCGGCACGGCTCCGGCACGAGGCCGGCACGACCCCGGCACGACGCTGGCCATCCGCAACGCGACGCTGTCACACGGCGGCAGCTACCAGTGCCGCGCCGTCAACAGCGAGGGCGTGGCGCTGCACACCGTCACGGTCACCGTGGAAGGTGTGCGCCTGTGTGTGTGTGTGTGCACCTGTGTGTGTGTGTGTGTTTGCGCCTGTGTGTGTGTCTGTGTGTGTGTGTTTGTGCCTGTGTGTGTGTCTGTGTGCCTGTGTCTGTGTGCACCTGTGCGTGCGTGTGCCTGCGTGTGCCTGCGTGTGTGCGTCCGTGCGCCTGTGTGTGTGCCTGCGTGTGTGCGTGCGTGTGTGTGCGTGCGTGTGCCTGCGTGTGCGTGTGCGTGCGCCTGTGTGCGTGCGTGTGTGTGTGCGTGCGTGTGCGTGCGTGTGCGTGCGTGTGCCTGTGTGTGTGCCTGCGTCTGTGCGTGTGCGTGCATGTGTGTGCCTGTGTGTGTGCCTGTGTGTGTGCCTGTGTGTGTGCGTGTGTGTGTGTCTATGTGCGTGCCTGTGTGTGTTTGTGCCTGTGTGTGTATGTGTGCCTGTGTGCACCTGTGTGTGCCTGCGTGTGTCTGTGTTCACCTGTGTGTGCGTGCGTGTGTATGTGTGTGCGTGCGTGTGCCTGCGTGCGTGTGCCTGTGTGTGTCTGTGTGTGTGTGTGCCTGTGTGTGTGTGTCTGTGTGCCTGTGTGCGTGTGCGCCTGTGTGTGTCTGTGTGTGCCTGTGTGTGTGTCTGTGTGCCTGTGTGTGTGTGCCTGTGTATGTGTGCGTGCGTGTGCCTGTGTGTATGTGTGTGTGCCTGCGTGTGTGTGTGCCTGCGTGTGTGCGTGCCTGTGTGTGTGCCTACGTGTGTGCGTGCGTGTGTGTGTGTGTGCGTGCGTGTGTCTGCGTGCGTGTGTGTGCGTGCCTGTGTCTGCGTGCGTGTGTGTGCGTGTGCCTGCGTGTGTGCCTGTGTGTGTGTGCGTACGTGTGCCTGCGTGTGTGCCTGCGTGTGTGTGTGTGCGCCTGCGTGTGTGTGTGCATGCGTGTGCGTGTGCCTGCGTGCGTGTGCCTGCCTGCGTGTGTGTGTGTGCGTGTGTGTGTGTGCGTGCGTGTGCGTGTGCCTGCGTGCGTGTGCCTGCCTGCGTGCGTGTGTGTGCGTGTGTGTGTGTGCGTGTGTGTGTGTGTGCGTGTGTGTGCGTGTGTGCGCGTGGCGGAGTGGTGGCTCAGGTGTTAGCGCCACTCCGCTACGAACCCGGCAACAACCTCGAGTTCCCATTCACAGCCGGGGGTCTGCCTCCATTCTCCCTCCGCTGTCTGGTGGTGCTGCTGCTGCTGGGGTGGTGGTCCCTGTCTATAGGAAGCCGGCCACACCGATGGTGACTGACACCTCGCTTTGTTCATTTCCATCAGCCGCCTTTCCCTATCGCAGGTGGGGACCCCCCCCCCACCCACCCACCCCCCTGTCTGGTTCTGCCTTGACACTCGCTGGTGCCGCGCGACACTTGCTGGTGCCGTGTGAAAGTCACGTGGGTTTGTTCGTCCGAGAGCCGGTCCGCCTGTGAGCTACGTAGCTCAGTGGACCTGCCTGGTAACCACACATGTGTGATGTCTAGTTGACAAGCAAGGGACATTGTCTAACCCCTCCTCCCCCCCTGTCCCCTCCGCCCCCCCTCCTCCTCTTCCTCCCTCCTCCTCCTCCCCCCTCCCTCCTCCCCCCCCTCCTCCTCCCCCCCTCCTCCTCCTCCCCCCCCTCCTCCCCCCCTCCTCCTCCCCCCTGCCTCCTCCTCCCCCCTCTCCTCCTCCTTACCCCTTTTCCTCCTCCCCCCTCCTCCTCCTCCCCTCGCTCCCCCTCCTCCTCCCCCCCGCCCCCCCCCCTCCCGCCCTCTGCAGCGAAGCCGCACTGGTTCGCTCCGCTGCCAGAGAGCCGCAGCTACGCGCCGGGGGACAGCGCCAAGCTCACGTGCTTCGCAAGCGGAATCCCCGCACCGACCATCCGCTGGTTCCTCAACGGTGTGCCCATCGACGGTGAGACGCGGGGGGGGGGGGGGGGGTCAGTCTCGCTCGCCCACTCGCCCCGCCCGCTCACTCGCGGATCGATCGCACGCTCGCTCGCCCGCTTGTCCACCGACGTGCACGTGCACACGCTCGTCAGCCGATCGCTCGGTCGACCGATCGCGGTAAAATCACACGCTCGGTCAACCAGTCGCCCGCTCACTCGCCCACTCACTCGCCACGCTCACTCATCGCTCACTCGCCGCTCACTCGCCCGCTCACTCGCCCGCTCAACCCGCCCGCTCACTCGTCCGCTCACTCGCCCGCTCACCCGCCCGCTCACCCGCCCACTCACCCGCCCGCTCACTCGCCCGCTCACTCGCCCGCTCACTGGCCCGCTCACTCGCCCGCTCACCCGCCCGCTCACCCGCCCGCTCACTCGCCCGCTCACTCGTCCGCTCACTCGCCCGCTCACCCGCCCGCTCACCTGCCCACTCACTCGCCCGCTCACTCGTCCGCTCACTCGCCCGCTCACTTGCCCGCAATGTGCACGCCCTCACCCAGCCGGTCGCACGCTCACCCACAGGACGTAGCGAAGTGAGCCGGATCACGCCGCGTTGCGCTAAATGCATCCTGCCAAACAATGCCAAATCGCGCTCAGACCATTCCACATCGTGGTTAAAATCGTTCCGCATCGTGCGCCGAGACCGCGCCAAACCGTGCCGGGCGTCGTGCCGCCGTGCCACGGAGCAGAAGCCCCCGCGGTGCCGGACCGGCGGGTGGACCGCAACTTCCTGACGCTGACCCGGCTGCGGGAGGAAGACACCGGCGTGTACCAGTGCCAGGCCTCCAACCGTCACGGCACCATCCTGGCCAACGCCTACGTCAACGTTCTGGGTGAGAGCCGCACGTAGCCAACTATGACGGTCGGAGGTGCGGGGGAAGGACGACTGAGTCTCTGTGCGAATCTGTGGGTCTCTGTGTGGTGAGTCTGTCGGTCTCTGTGTGGTGAGTCTGTGGGTCTCTGTGTGGTGAGTCTGTGGGTCTCTATGTGAGTCTGTGGGTCTCTGTGTGAGTCTGTGGGTCTCTGTGTGAGTCTGTGGGTCTCTGTGTGGTGAGTCTATGGGTCTATGTGTGAGTCTATGGTTCTCTGTGTGAGTCTATGGGTCTCTGTGTGAGTCTCTGGGTCTCTGTGTGAGTGTGGATCTCTGTGTGAGTTTGTGTGTGAGTCTCTGGGTCTCTGTGTGAGTCTATGAGTGTCTGTGTCTGTGTAAGTCTACTAGCTGTACTACCCGGCTTCGCCCGGGACTTGTATCCACCACGGCCGGCCGCCTTTGTCTCCCCAGTGGCGATGTTAATACGCCACACCAGTTACTCGTTTGAGGCTGAGTCGACCTATGGGAGGTTCAAATAATCTTGACTGGTGGTGGCCATGAGCGGGAATCGAACTCGGTTCGCCGGGTTGGTAGCGCAGCGTAGCGTTAACCACTACACCCACCGCTCCTCACACACACAGACGCACAGACACACACACAGACACACACACAGACACACGCAGACACACACAGACAGACACAGACAGACACACAGACACACAGACAGCACGCTAACCACTACACTACCGCTCCCCACACACCACACACGCACACACACAGACACACACACAGACACACACACACAGACACACAGACAGACACACACACACAGACACACAGACAGCACGCTAACCACTACACTACCGCTCCCCACACACCACACACGCACACACACAGACACACACACAGACACACACACAGACACACACACACAGACACACACACACAGACACACACACACAGACACACACACACAGACACACACAGAGGCAGCACGCTAAGCACTACACTACCGTTCCCCCTACACACCACACACGCACACACACAGACACACACACAGACACACACACAGACACACACACAGACACACACACAGACACACACACACAGACACAGGCAGCACGCTAAGCACTACACTACCGTTCCCCCTACACAACACACGCGCACACACACAGACACACACACAGACACACACACACAGACACACAGACAGACACACAGACACACACACAGACACACACACACAGACACACAGACACACAGACAGCACGCTAACCACTACACTACCGCTCCCCACACACCACACACGCACACACACAGACACACACACAGACACACACACACAGACACACAGACAGACACACACACACACAGGCAGCACGCTAAGCACTACACTACCGTTCCCCCTACACAACACACGCGCACACACACAGACACACACACAGACACACACACACAGACACACAGACAGACACACACACACAGACACACAGACACAGGCAGCACGCTAAGCACTACACTACCGTTCCCCCTACACAACACACGCGCACACACACAGACACACACACACAGACACATAGACAGACACACACACACACAGACACAGGCAGCACGCTAAGCACTACACTACCGTTCCCCCTACACAACACACGCGCGCGCGTCCATAGGTACACATACACGCGCTTGCTGCAGACACACACATACACACACATACATACACGCACATACACACAAACACATACACACACATACACACACATGCATACACACAGACATACACATACATACAAACACACACATACATACACACAAACATACACAATACACACACACATACATACAGACACACACATACATACACACAAACACATACAGACACATACATACACACATACATACAGACACACAGACATACACATAAACACATACACACATAGTCATGACCCGGCTTTGCCCGGGACTTGTATCCACCACGCCCGGCCGCCTTTGTCTCCCCAGTGGCGATGTTAATACGCCACACCAGTTACTCGTTTTGAGGCTGAGTCCCTCACTCGCCACTCTGCCTCCCTCGCCACTCTGTAGAGGACGTGAAATTTGTATGAATTTACCTCAGAGTGGCGTGTTGGGTGTCGAGGCCTAGCACCGTGCAGAGCCTCACGCCTTGCCTGATTTTCCCACCTGGCGAACGCTGGGTACGGGTGCCGGTCCCCCCCCCCCCCGCGCTATTAAAAATGGCGTCCACCCCGCGGCGAAAAGTTGCTACTCGTTGCCAGGGGCAACCGCCGTCCAATGAAAGCGGCGAAGGCGTCGTTAGCTGTTGCCAGGGGCAACCGCCGTCCAATGAAAGTGCGTATGGTCCGAAATCCACACACACATACACAGACAGACAGACATGCACGATTTTATATATATAGATGTGTCTCAGTGTGTGTATATGGGTCTCTGTGTGAGTCTGTGGGTCTCTATGTGAGTCTGTGGGTCTCTGTGTGAGTCCTCTCGGTAAACATCTGTCTTGCTTCTCCTCGTGTTGCTCCCCCCTTCAAATCCTCCCTCTCCTCCCTCCCCCTCCACATTCCACCTCCTGTGTTCCGTGGAGGGATAACCACTCAGTGTCTCCCTCCGCTCCTCATTCTCCAATCTCCTGTCTCTCTCTCTCACTTCCCTCCTGAAGCTTCCCTCGTCAACTCCTGCCACCACCACCCCCCAAGATCTCCTCCTGCTTCACCTGGTGGCATCTCTGCTGTGGTTCCACAACATTCCTCTACACTGTGAGATCTCTTTTAGCAGTGGCAAAATATAGTAGTAGATTTTTACCCTTTTAAACTGGTACAAAACTGACACCTTTATTCAAGGCATCATGTTTGCAATAACCACAACACAAGTAGTCAAAAAAGCAAACAAAAAGAAGCAATTCTGATAATGATAATAATATGCACTGTCTTTGATGTTGATTGGTCCACACCCGAGACAGCTTTCTTTAGAGCCTAGTCCCCATTGGTGTTGGACTAGATGACACCAGAAGGCGTACCACTGGTAAAAGAGATCTCATAGTGTAAATGCTTACTTAGAGCTCTCAATACTCTGATATTGCACTGTGTTTGAGTTGTATCAAGGACAGTGCATATTATTATCATTATTAGAGTTACTTCTTTTTGTTTGCTTTTTTGACTACTTGTGTTGTGGTTATTGCAAACATGATGCCTTGAATAAAGGTGTCAGTTTTGTACCAGTTTAAAAGGGTTAAAACCTACTACAACATTCCTCTAACTCAGCAACCCTCCCTCCCCCTGTCTCTGCCCCCCCCCACCTCTCCCACAGCCGTGGCCCCACGGATGCTGTCGAAGCCGGACAGGCTGTACACGGCCACAGAGGGACAGGCCGCGTACTTAGAATGTGCCGTGTTTGGGTTGCCACGTCCCAACATCCTGTGGTGAGACCGACGCTGGCCCGGCTACTTTACTGCCTCCATGAACTAAACACTGTCAAGGATGACGTAGTGTAGTTCATACTGGTAATTCTCTAACCCTAATACTGATTTAAAGCTTTCGTGACTGCAGGGATTCATCTTCTTGGTTCTTTCGGTAAAGTCATCACGTAGAAGGGAAATAATAAAATTATAAAAATAGAACATAATAAAATACAATTCTCACGACGTTTCGGCCACAACGCAAGCAGCTGTCCGCAGATGAAGAACTGCTGTATGTGTGTGTGACACACACAGTGAAACTGCTGTGTGTGTGTGTACAACACACACAGTGAAACTGCTGTGTGTGTGTGTACAACACACACAGTGAAACTGCTGTGTGTGTGTGTACAACGCACACAGTGAAACTGCTGTGTGTGAGTGTACAACACACACACACAGCAGTTTCACTGTGTACAACACTCAAGACTCCCTCCCCCCCCCCCCCTCTTTGCTTACGCCGCGCACCGCCAGGTTCCAGGGCGACCACGGCGCATCCCTGGCGAGCGAGCGCCACCAAACCTTCGCCAACGGCACGCTGCTCATCTCGGACCTGTCGCCTGCCGACTCCGACACGTACACCTGCTACGCAGTCAACAAGCTGCACCACCAGCAGCTCCAGGCACGCCTCTACGTCGAAGGTTTGCACACCGAGACCGATAGACTCATCACAACGAGACCGATAGACTCACACAGAACCATAGACTCACCACACAGAGACCCATAGACTCACACAGACCCATAGACTCATCACACAGAGACCCATAGACTCGTCACACTGAGACCGATAGACTCACACAGACCCATAGACTCATCATGCAGAGACCCATAGACTCATCACACAGAGACCCATAGACTCATCACACTGAGACCGATAGACTCACACAGACCCATAGACTCATCACACAGAGACCCATAGACTCATCACACAGAGACCCATAGACTCATCACACAGAGACCCATAGACTCATCACACAGAGACACATAGACTCATCACACAGAGACCGATAGACTCACACAGACCCATAGACTCATCACACCGAAACCCACAGACTCATCACACAGAGACCCATAGACTCACACAGACCCATAGACTCATCATGCAGAGACCCACAGACTCACCACACAGAGACCCACAGACTCACCACACAGAGACCCACAGACTCATCACACAGAGACCCACAGACTCACCACACAGAGACCCACAGACTCATCACACAGAGACCCATAGACTCATCACACAGAGACCCATAGACTCATCACACAGAGACCCATAGACTCATCACACAGAGACACATAGACTCATCACACAGAGACCGATAGACTCACACAGACCCATAGACTCATCACACCGAAACCCACAGACTCATCACACAGAGACCCATAGACTCACACAGACCCATAGACTCATCACACAGAGACCCATAGACTCATCACACTGAGACCGATAGACTCACACAGACCCATAGACTCATCATGCAGAGACCCACAGACTCACCACACAGAGACCCACAGACTCACCACACAGAGACCCACAGACTCACCACACAGAGACCCACAGACTCACCACACAGAGACCCACAGACTCATCACACAGAGACCCATAGACTCATCACACAGAGACCCATAGACTCATCACACAGAGACCCATAGACTCATCACACAGAGACCCATAGACTCACACAGAGCCATAGACTCATCACACAGAGACCATAGACTCATCACACAGAGGCCCATAGACTTACACAGACCCAGACTCACCACACAGAGACCCATAGACTCATCACACAGAGACCCATAGACTCACACAGACCCATAGACTCATCACACAGAGACCCATAGACTTACACAGACCCAGACTCACCACACAGAGACCCATAGACTCATGAGTCTATGGGTCTCTGTGTGATGAGTCTATGGGTCCAGCAGAGGTCGTCTCGGCCACGTCCATGCCCTCCCTCCCTTCTCTCGCTCGCAAAGACACGTGGATCCCCCCGCTAACGCAGCATCTTTGTCGGTTATAAACATTCAGGCTGCTTTGCCAATCGCTCGCCGCTGTCTCCCCTTCCCATTGGTAACTGTCCCCCCACAGTCGCCAGCAGCAGCTCGGAGCCGGGAGCGGTGTCACGCGGTGACCCGGCACGGCCCAGCGCCACACCACGCACGCCGCAGGGCGGGGACACAGGCCTCTGGGACTACATCACCACCACCGCCGCAACCGACGCCACGACCGCCGATAGCACCACCACCACCACAACCACTCGGCAGTGCTTCTACGGCGTGAGCACAGCGTCGGCATGCACGCCGCCAGGCAGCGGTGGAGGTGCCAGCGCTGACGACGGTGAGTTCCTCTCCTCCCTCCCGCCACGATCGCAGCGACGCCAAAATGTTAACTACCTCGCCCGATGCGCAGGAGTTTGCGGGTTCGATCCTGACCCTGACGATGCCTGTACGTTTGTTGTCCGCGTGTCTCTCTCCCTGCGGTTGCGTCGATTTCCTTGCGCAATCGCAAGTGAGATTTGTGGGAAAAGTCCACGATGTTTTTCATTTGCCGGACAGCTTCAATGGAGCCAGTTGGATCGCTGTGCACAAGATGGCGGCGATGGCTTGTCTAGTCTCCAGGGGGGTTCGTGTATCAGGTAGATCGATGGTGGCCGCTGATTATGAAAGACGAACCAGGAGGGTCACCAAGGCAGTGAAATGAGTCCGGTCCCAGTGTTTTTTATTATCGATGAAAAGTCACATCGCTCGTGGCACGGGCGACTACGACGCTCGCCGTTGCTGGATTTCTCTCTGCTCTCCGTGACCCCCCGACCCCCCACCCCCAGCCCGCTCCTCGTCAGAAGAAGAGGCGGTCGCCACGACGACTCAGAGCCCCTTCGTCAGCCCCACGGTGGGCGTCGTGGTGGTGGCGGCGGCAATGCTCCCGCTGGTGACGCTTGCAGTGGTCGCCGCGTGCCTGTGAAGGCGGCGGCGGCGGCAGCAGAGCCCCCTGGTGAGCGGCAGTGGCATCGTGGAGTGACCAATCAATCAAGCGTCGTGGCAGTACAGGTTCTTTCGGTAAAGTGACGTATAAAGAGAAAATAATAAATTAAATACTAGCATACGACGTTTGGACTGCAACGCAAGCAATCGTCATCAGGTATAAATGAAATGGAAACACAAATCTAGTATACTTAGAAATGTAATACAACAGAGAGTCGGAACAGGACCCTGCGGGGTGGGCTGGTAGGAACGAATAACCAAAGAATATAAACATAATGTATTATTACACTTGTTTAGCCAGGAAAGCCCCACTGAGTCTAAAGGTTTTTGTAGGGTCCTGCCAAGTGTTTGCAGTAGGGGGCGATGTTGCTACACCGAATCGGACGATACGAAGATAGAGTTTGAGGCCTAGTTCTAGGCTTTAGGCCTAGCTCTAGGCTTTAGGCCGCCGTGAGTTAATTTTAAATTTAAATGTTTTTATATTTATGTAAAAGCTTTAAATTTAAATGTTTCTATTTAAAAGCATCAGGGAATGTAACATTGTTAAACATTAACTCCCTTGCACACATGCGGGGGTACGATACGAAGGGAAAGTGATAGGCGTAGTTCGAGGCTTTATGCCTAGCTGTAGGCTTTAGGGCGCTGTGAGTTTTTTATTTAATTTCAAAGTTTTAATTAAAAGCTATCTCAGGGAATTATAAGGGAATGTTACACTTGTTTAGCCAGGAAAGCCTCATTAATTGAAATGTTTTAATTAAAAGCTATCTGAGGGAATTATAAGGGAATGTACACTTGTTTAGCCAGGAAAGCGTCACTGAGTAAAGGTTTTTGTAGGGTCATGCCAAGTGTTTGCAGTAGGGGGCGATGTTGCTACACGGACGGACGGACGGAAAAACGGACGTACGATATAATCTATTGTAGGCTGGTCCACTTTGTTCCTACCAGTATAACATAACAGTCAACACCCCACCTGGTTGATTACGTTCTTCCTGAGAATGCTAAATTTGAGAGAGAGATAAAACACAAAAGAGTTGTTTCTATTTGTTGCATTTTGACTGCTTGTGTTGTGGTTATTGCAAACATGATGCCTTGTATAAAGGTGTCAGTTTTTGTACCAGTATAAAGGGTAAACACCTACTACGTGTGTGTAGTTGCCGTGGTGCGGTACCTGTGCTCAGCAGAGACGTTCTCTTCCCATTCGCAGGATCTCAAACTTGGATAGGCGCTCTGTCCTCATCCGTTTCACTGGGAACAACAACAGCAACAACAACAACAGCAACAACAACAGCAACAGCCAAACGAGAAAACTCCGAACGCTTCCCGAAATATTGTCGTGACCAGGGTGTGGAGACCCACAGACTCACTACACAGAGACCCATAGACTCACCACACAAAGACCCATAGACTCACTACACAGAGAGCCATAGACTCACTACACAGAGACCCATAGACTCACACACAGAGACCCATAGACTCACTACACAGAGACCCATAGACTCACTACACAGAGAGCCATAGACTCACTACACAGAGACCCATAGACTCACCACACAAAGACCCATAGACTCACTACACAGAGATCCATAGACTCACTACACAGAGACCCATAGACTCACCACACAGAGACCCATAGACTCACTACACAGAGACCCATAGACTCACTACACAGAGACCCATAGACTCACTACACAGAGACCCATAGACTCACTACACAGAGAGCCATAGACTCACTACACAGATCCATAGACTCACTACACAGAGACCCATAGACTAACCACACAGAGACCCATAAACTCACCACACAGAGACCCACAGACTCACCACACAAAGACCCATAGACTCATCACACAAAGACCCATAGACTCACTACACAGAGATCCATAGACTCACTACACAGAGATCCATAGACTCACCACACAGAGATCCATAGACTCACCACACAGAGACCCACAGACTCACCACACAGAGACCCATAGACTCATCACACAAAGACCCATAGACTCACTACACAGAGATCCATAGACCCACTACACAGAGACCCACAGCCTCACCACACAGAGACCCATAGACTCACTACACAGAGATCCATAGACTCACCACACAGAGACCCATAAACTCACCACACAGAGACCCACAGACTCACCACACAGAGACCCATAGACTCACCACACAAAGACCCATAGACTCACTATACAGAGATCCATAGACTCACTACACAGAGACCCATAGACTCACCACACAAATACCCATAGACTCACCACACAAAGACCCATAGACTCACCACGTAGAGACCCACAGACTCACCACACAGAGACCCTCAGACTCACCACACAGACACCCATAGACTCACCACACAGAGACCCATAGAGACTCACCACACGACCCATGCACCTATCCTGGAACAGCAGTCAACTCATGGCACCTGCTGGGTCATTCCCGTGACTTGCTCATGCACCTAGCATGGCACAGCAGTCAACCCACGGCACCTGCAGGGTCTGTCCCGTGACTTCCTCCTCATGCACCTAGCCTGGCACAGCAGTTAACCCATGGCACCTGCAGGGTTTGTCCCGTGACTTCCTCCTCATGCACCTAGCCTGGCACAGCAGTCAACCCACGGCACCTGCTGGGTCTGTCCCGTGACTTCCTCATGCACCTAGCCTGGCACAGCACGGCACCTGCTGGGTCTGTCCCGTGACCTCCTCCTGCACCTAGCCTGGCACAGCAGTCAACCCACGGCACCTGCTGGGTCTGTCCCGTGACCTCCTCATGCACCCAGCCTGGCACAGCAGTCAACCCATGGCACCTGGGGTCTGTACCTTGACTTTTTCATGCATCTAGCCTGGCACAGCAGTCAACCCATGGCACCTGCAGGGTCTGTACCTTGACTTTCTCATGCACCTAGCCTGGCACAGCAGTCAATCCATGGCACCTGCAGGGTCTGTCCCGTGACTTTCTCATGCACCTAGCCTGGCACAGCAGTCAACCCACGGCACCTGCTGGGTCTGTCCCGTGACCTCATGCACCCAGCCTGGCACAGCAGTCAACCCATGGCACCTGCAGGGTCTGTACCTTGACTTTTTCATGCATCTAGCCTGGCACAGCAGTCAACCCATGGCACCTGCAGGGTCTGTACCTTGACTTTCTCATGCACCTAGCCTGGCACAGCAGTCAATCCATGGCACCTGCAGGGTCTGTCCCGTGACTTTCTCATGCACCTAGCCTGGCACAGCAGTCAACCCACGGCACCTGCTGGGTCTGTCCCGTGACCTCCTCATGCACCCAGCCTGGCACAGCAGTCAACCCATGGCACCTGCAGGGTCTGTACCTTGACTTTCTCATGCACCTAGCCTGGCACAGCAGTCAATCCATGGCACCTGCAGGGTCTGTCCCGTGACTTTCTCATGCACCTAGCCTGGCACAGCAGTCAACCCACGGCACCTGCTGGGTCTGTCCCTATGATGATAAGCCACTTCGCTAAGCCATCTCTCTCTCTGCGTGTGTGTCTGTCTTTGTGTGATAACTTTAATGTACATTGTATTATGGTTGTCATTGTTTGATATGCGCTGCTTGATATCGGGGAAGTTTTTTTTCTCCTGGATGTTTCTGTTGCGCGTCGTCATTTTAAGAATTTTATTTCTTCGTGTTTTTTGTTTGTTGCCGCATGGGTCACGTGGTTATACCTCAAAATAAATGAAACTTTAAACTGAAACTGTCTCCGTGTCTGTGCCTCTGTACATCTGTAACTGGAAGACATCTTCTGTAACGGGAAGACATCTTCTGTAACGGGAAGACTTATTTATACATACACACTACACTACATTATACACTACTACACTACACTATACACTACACACTACACTATACACTACACTACACTACACTAACAACACTATACACTACACTACACTAGTGCTGTGCTAGTGACGAATTGGCACGTTCTGTTACGTGACAACCCTCACTAGTTGGTGGTGATGGATTTTAACGACACATTTATATTTTTGCGATCAAACCCAAAACACCTCTTATGGATTCACCACGTTATGAACATCACATTTGCATTCATACGTTGCTTGCTTAATTGCCTCAGCAACTCGGTGTTTCGTATGGAATCTCGTCTCAAACAATCGAAGGGCGCCCCTAAGTGGCAGCTGCCCCTGTGTGGCACAAGGTGGTTGTGGGGTTTCTGGATAATATTCTTAGGTTTTTCGGTAAAGTCACGGAGGTAAAAAATTAAAATTAATAAAAGTAAATAAAAATCACGACGTTTCGATTGCAACACAAGCAATCATCATCAGGTATAAATGAAATAGCAACAAAAATTCTAACCAGAAAAACTATAGACAGACATATGAGCAGACAGATATCACCAAGATACATAGAGAGACACAGGCACAGAGAGGGAGATCGTCTCTGTGGCGAGGCCTTAAATAGGCAGGGGGCGAGGGCAGAGAGAGGGAGGGGGCAGAGACAAAATTAACATGTCAATGAGTGCGGAAAACGCGTAGTGAAGTAAGCAAGTTTGAACATTAGGAGAGAGGGAGAAAGAACACACTAAATTAAATAACCTAGATAATGTCTGGACAATGTCTGGAATTAGCACGATTTAGACCGTGACACCAACATGCAATGGACCTGTGCGTTGTGAGTGACACGTGGCTTGTCTTACATCCGCCGTGAAGCAGACTGCGCATATTTTGGTGAATGTCACTGGGGTAGCCAGCTGTGCCTGTCCGATTTGAACCTTGAACCTCTGCAATGAATAGAGAATGCGCTACCATATTGTGTGCACACACATAGTGTACACACACAATGTACACTCACTCACTGTGTACACACACAATGTACACACACACACAGTGTACACACACAATGTACACACACAGTATACACACAATGTACACACACACTCACAGTGTACACACACAATGTACACACACACTCACTGTGTACACACACACAGTGTACACACACAATGTACAC